CTTGCCGAGACGGGCCCCGCGGAGGGGTCTGGAGCCAGATCGGGAACGGGCCTTGATGCTCGAAGTGCAGAGAACTCTAGGCCTCCTAGCTTGGATCGGAATCGATGGGGTCGGAGGATCGCGCCGCAGCGCCGATGCATCGACGATGCGGCTCGACTCGGAGCCCGTGTTTCCCGACGCGGCCGTCGCCGATGCATCGCCGATACATCGGCGATGCGCTGGCGATGCAGCGCGATCCTTCGGACTCATCTACTCCGACTCCATCGAGGAGGCCTCGAAGAACGGCGTAAACATTAAACTTCTGGCGCTCCGCGCGGATTTTGTGGGTCGTTTTGTTTGTTTGTTTTCCCCCCCCTCCATATATTCGCCCGTCTCAGGCGAGGTCCTGAGGAGGGAACGGGGCCTCGAGGTTCTGCTCAGCCTTCGGCCTGCCCTGGTCTATCTGGGCCCCTGGGGCCTGCAGAGCACGGCTCGGGATGGAGAGCCAGGCCCTGGGGCAGCCCCGGGCTCCAGGATTTTTGAAGAGAGAAATCTGCTAGCTCTCCCTCGTCCAGAGGCGGCGCCGGCGACGGGGCAGCTCGTCGACCGGGAGGACATCCGCAACGTTGCCATCATCGCGCACGTGGACCACGGCAAGACCACGCTGACGAACGCGATCATGAGGCAGAACTCCCCAGAGGAGAGTCCTCGTCTTCCCCATCGCAGTCCGAGCCCTGGGCCGTTGCGTCCGGCCCTCTCGCCTCCTCCTCCTCCTCCTCCTGCTCCTTCCCCTCCTCTTCCTCCTCTGCCTCCTCCTCTGCCGCCTCCGTATCATCCCCGCGTCCTACGCCTAATCCGACTTCCTCCGCATCATCCATTTCCGCCTTCTCCTCCAACACTCCCTACCGCCGCCTACTCCTCAGATCCCGCTATCCCTCCGCCACTACCTACTCATCCCTACTACACCTCCTCCTCCTCCTCCTCTCCCCCCTGGCGCTGGTACGTTTTCAGGGTTCCTTTTTTTTCTCCTGCTGTCTTCCTGACGCCCGCGGTGGACAGAGTGACGTGCGCATCGGCCAGAGGGTCGCCGCGCCGCTGGCAATGAAAAAGGCTCCCCAGAGGAGACCATCAACTCCATGGACAGCGACCAGATCGAGTCGGAGCGGGGCATCACGATCCTGGCCAAGAACGCGTCCGTCGACTACAAGGGCGTCAAGATCAACCTCATCGACACCCCAGGGCACGCCGACTTCGGCGGCGAGGTCGAGCGGATCCTCAACATGGCCGACGCCTGCCTTCTGCTCGTGGACGCGCAGGAGGGGCCGATGCCGCAGACCAAGTTCGTGCTGCGGCAGGCCCTGGCGCTCGGGCGCAAGGTCATCGTGTGCATCAACAAGGTCAGGGGCAACGTTAGGCTTGAGTCGGGCCTGTCCCTGTACAGGAGGCATATTCAACAATGAAAAAAAAGTAGCCTGGGGATTGTTGTTGTTGTTTTTGAAGAAGCATAACACAAACTATGTTTGAATATTTTTGTTTTAAGCCTTTTGTGTTTTGTAAAACAATCCGCCTGTAGCAGGACATGCCCGACCTAAAGTTAGGGGGGGTGATAGGCTCAGGGGGGGGTGACGCATCGACCCCCCAATCGCTCATTTGTCGCCGATCGGGGCCGGATGGCCCACCCTGCCCAGGAGCCGTGCGGTCTCGCACTCGGGCGCCCATCGCCGATGTAGCGGCGATGCGTCGCCGATTCCGGGTCCACGCTTCCCTGCCCTGAGTCGTCACCTCCTCGGGATCGCCGCGAGGAACAGGCGGGTTCTAAGTGGATGCTGCTGTGGGCTATCTGGCCTAACCTTACCTTACTTGTGAGTTAGAGCTGCCCTGAGAGGCTCAAAGGGGTTAGGTAACTCTGCGCAGTGGGCTCTGCCCGCTTAGCCCAGAGCTCTGCCCCCCCGTGGGCCCCGTGAGCCGCCCAGCGCACTTGCATCCTCTTCTAAGCTTGGCCATTCCAGATGTGAACCACCTTTGCATCCACTTAGGACCCCCTGTCCCCTTAGTACCCCCAGCGGTGATCCAAGTATCGTGGTCCCTCACGAGGTCGACAAGCCAGCCGCGCGCTGCGACTGGGTGCTGGACAGCACCTTCGACCTCTTCGGCGCGCTCGGGGCGAACGACGAGCTCTGCGACTTCCCTGTGGTCTACGCCTCGGGAGCCCTCGGCGTGGCCTCTGTGGACGGCCCGGGCTCGCTGGAGAAGGACCTGTCCCCGATCCTCGACCTGATTTTGGAGGAGTGCCCGAAGCCCAAGGTAGACGCCTGCGCGCCAGTGCAGATGCTGGTGTCCAACCTGGACTACGACCCCTTCATCGGGCGTATCTCCATCGGCCGCCTCACATCTGGCAGCCTCGAGAGGGGCAAGCTGGTCGGATTCCAGTACGGCCCCGAGGGCAAGATCAGGACAGCCAAGATCAGCAAGCTCTGGGACTTCCACAACAATGGCAGGAGGAGTGCCGACAGGATCGACGCTGGCGACATCTGCGCGTTCACCGGAATGGACGACGTGAGGATCGGCGACACGGTGGTGGATCCGGCTGGGAGGTCCCTGGCCCTCCCGCCGATCGTGGTGGAGGAGCCCACGGTTGCCATGGAGTTCGGGGTGAACACCTCGCCCTTCTGCGGCCAGCTGCCAGAGTCCCGGTGGCTGACCGGCAGCCAGCTGAAGACCCGCCTCGAGAAGGAGGCGATGTCCAACGTGGCCCTCCGCGTCGAGCCCGGCCGGGGCAACGACTTCTTCAGGGTGAAGGGCCGCGGCGTCCTGCAGCTCGGGGTGCTCGTCGAGAACCTGAGGCGCGAGGGCTTCGAGATCATGATCGGCGCGCCGGAGGTCATCCTGCAGACCGACGCGGCGACAGGGGAGCAGCTGGAGCCGTACGAGGAGGTGGTGGTAGATGCGCCCACGGAGTACCAGGGTGTGGTCATGGAGGAGATGCAAAAGAAGTCTGCCGAGATGGTCTCCATCCGAAGAAGAAGATCCGCACAAACATACACTTACGGAGGTCCGCCCAGATTTCTTGCATTGGCGCTTGCCCGCCCCTGGTGGCGCTTCTGGCGCCGCGGGCCAGGGGAGGGGGGTCCAGCGCCGATCCAAGAACTTCGTGTGGACATATGAAAGTTTCTACTTGTGCAGGTTTTCCTTCTTCTATCCATGGAGTGCGGGCCAAGGGAGGACACGATGATCATGTCCTTCAAGATGCCAACACGCAACCTCATCGGTATGCAGGGAGTTTTCATGCGCCGGACGAAGGGGCATGCTGTGATGACCTCGCGATTCCTTGAGTACGGCCCATTCCAGGGAGACAACGTCCGCTTCCGAGAAGCGGGCTCCATAGTTTCTTCCGCCGCGGGCAAGGCGACGTCGTACCAGCTGGTCAAGTGGAAAAACCGCGGATCGTTCTGGGTAGCCCCCGCCGAGGCGGTGTACGAGGGCATGGTCTGTGGGATCCACCACAAAGACGAGGACATCCACGTCAATATGACCAAGGCGAAGGGGGTGACCAACGTCCGCGAGAAGACCTCGACTGGCGTTGAACAGCCGCCCCCGCCCCTCCAGATGACCATCGACGACTTCCTGGGGCACATGGACACGGACGAGCTGCTCGAGGTGACACCGGGCCCGGTCCGGCTCCTGAAGAGAAACTCCAAGGCCCTCAAGGCGCGGTGAGCGGCCGCCCCACGCCTCCTTCGAGGAGGCCGCCGTGCAGCTGCTTTTTTTCGGGCAGTATGGCTGCTCCCGTCCCGGAGATCCGACGCTCCCAAACAATCTCATCGGGCGGTTCTCGTATGTTTTCGGCCTCCCGGGGGCCCGCGCCAGGCCCCCAGGAGACCGTCAACAAAACGACTCAGGACGACAAGCGTCGACCAGACGTGAGAGTGACCTTTCGCCGGAGTGGCCTTTGGTGCGGGCACAGACGGGCCCTCAGATGGCTGAAAACGAAGCAGTAGCAGCGGCTAGCGCGCCTGGATTTGGCCTCCCCGCGGCCCCCCCAAAGCCGCGCACCAAAGGTCACTCTTGCCCAGGGTCGCTCTTGCGTGTAGCCGAGAACGGGTCCCTGGGGAGTGGTCCACGCATCGAACCACTTGGAGCCGCCGGATGTCTGGGCCGGTGGAGACCCCACATCGAGAGCCGCCCTGCTGGCCTCCAGGGGGCCCTGGTCGTCTCGGGTCGCGGTGGTGCTTCTGTGGAAGGCGTGGTGTTCCCGCACCCCAAAGACCGAGGGACGTCCTGGGGTCTCAGGGTTGGGTTTCTTGTAGGAAAAAAACACAGTGGGGAAAAAACGCACAGAGTGTGTTTTTCCCCACTGTGTTTAAAACACACACAGGGTGTGTGTGTGTGTGTGTGTGGGTGTTTTCCCCACAGGGTGTGTGTGTGTGTGTGTGTGTGTGTGTGTGTGTGTGTTTTTTCTCCCCACAGGGTGTGTGAGTGTGTGTGTGTGTTTTTCTTGTAGGGAAAAAACGCAGTGTGTGTGTGTTTTTTCCCCACGGTGTGTGTGTGTGTGTGTTCTCCACAGACTCTGTGTTTTTTGGTTTCGAGTGGTCGAGCTCGCACTGTGGAGCGCTCTTGGGGTGCTCGCGTCGTCCCGAGCGGCCGCCGGAGGCTGGAGCTGCGACCCGAGGGCCAGAGGAGATGCCGCCGAAGTGGCCCTCGATGTGTGGTCTTCGGGGGGCCTCACGTCAGGAAGGGCAAAAGCACACAGACACCATTCATCGTCGATTCCCCAGAGAATATGGGAAAGCGTGGGAAGAGGGGGGGAAGACGAACACTTAGAAAACATGGGAGAATATGGGGAATCCTGGGATTTGTGTGTATTTATTCGTGTGTCCCTGGGCCCCCTCATTGAGGGGCCACGTCCGAGAGCGCGGGCCGGTGCAGCGATGGGCCGCCTCCGCCACCCGCCAATCGCCAATCCCCCCCTCGTCTCCCCAGTCGTCGCCAATCGCCGTAGACGCGCTAAAGGTGTGTTAGCTAACGGCGAAGTAGGACATCCAAATGTAGGAAAGCGCGGATCGTAGGAACGCGTGGTTCGTGTTTTCCAACATCTCGCTGTGTCGTGTTCGTTCGGTCCATTTGCATTTTTGAAACGTAGGAAACGGCCTTTCGTGATTTCCTGCCTTTTGTTCTTCGCGAGCTCGGTGTCACAAAAACCGTATTCCCGACCGCACCGTTAACCAAGCACGCCGTTAGCGCGGCCTTGGAATCGCTTCGCCGCCGATCGCCCCCTCAGACCTCCGGCGCCACGCTTTTGCTGTCGAGACGTGGGCCCCTGGAGACTTGGGCCCCTGGGGTCCTGGATCCTGACCCTCCCATCTCCAGTCGCCTCGCCCCTCCTCGTCACCGATCGCCTCCTGTCGCCCATCGCCGATCGCCAATCGCCCCGCCGCCCCCCTCGTTCGAGGCCGCTCCTTTCTGTGCGCCGCCAATCTCTTCCTCGTTCTCCTTCCTCCTCCTCCCTCCTCTTCCTCTTCCTCCTCCTCCTCTTCCTCCTCCTCCTCCTTTTCCTCCTCCTCCTCCTCCTCCTCCTCCTCCTCCTCCTTTAGCGTAAGGCAAACACGATGAAACCTATCCGAGAAAAAAGCGGGGGAAGAAGAGAGCATCGGCGGAACCTGGCCAGGGCCTCAGAAGGGCGGGTCCCCCAAGGGCGGGGCAGTTGGCGTGAGATCCCCGACTCACTCATAACCCGTGGCCCTACTCCTTTTCCCCCTCCTCCCTTCTCCTCCTCCTCCTCCTCCTGCTCCTCCTTCTCCTCCCCCTCCTCCTCCTCCTCCTCCTCCTCCTCCTCCTCCTCCTCCTCCTCCTCCTCCTCCGCGCTCTTCCTCCTTCGTAGCTATTTGTGCTCACGTTTCCTGTGTTGGCGGGCGCAGCGCACGCAGGCTTCAAATGCATCGGCAGAGACCAGCACACGTTCGAGATCGAGTCTGGTGGCACTCGCTTCCCCTTCTACGTTAGCGCAGGCAAATCCCCTAATTTGGCTGTGTAATGAGCTTAACGGAGGAAACTTGGCCAACTCATCTCAGAGAAGCTCCCGCTGGTATTTCCCGGCGTTCATCAACCATACGGATGATTATCCTGCAAAGGTGAAGCCTTCCGTTCGCACAGTCGTGGGCGCAGACCCTGACCAGCCCACTAAAGTTCAATGGTCTGGTGCAGTAGACGGTTTGGGACTCTTCAAAGCCATGCAAGAGCAAGTTGAGAAGGAGCTGGCCGCCAGTTTCGCCGACCCACTCAGAGCAGTATCGTGGCTTTAGCAACAAGTGGGGCCCCTGGGACCACCACGGCGCCGACGGCGCCAACACTGTGACATGGAACACGCAGTCGCTCCTCGGCAACTCCTTCTCCAGACGCAGCATCAAACGCCCCGTGCTCCTGCCGCGCTTCTGCCAGAAGACCCTGACCGCGCTGCAGGAGACGCGCAGGAACCATTTTGATATAGATCTCGCGAATTCCACTCAGCACGGCTACGCCGCGTTCTACAGCGGCATCCCCAACAACGACTGTGCTGGCGGCATTGGCTTTCTGGTCCCCGTCGGCAAGAAGCTCTAGCACTACCCAGACAGCATCAACCCCGACATCCGTCTTTTGCCGGGGATTTTCGAGAATGGATGCTTTGCGCGCGCGCAGTTTTTCCTTGCCGAGGATGGCGGGGGGGCACGGGCGCCGATGCCGACCTGCCCGATACGCGCGAGCTCCCGCCGCGCTCTGCGCGTGTGCACGCAGTTCGGGCGAGTCTGTCCGTGCTCGGCCTCATCGCGCCCCCGACAAGTCAGGACCCGCCCCGCTCCTACACCACCACGGTCTTCAAAGCACACAGGGCCGATTTCATTCCTCTGAGATTGGGCGCCTGCCCGCATGCGGGCGTGCCCGCTGGGGCCGTAGGCGGAGCTCCCTGTGGGCCACAGTCCGCGTGGTGGGTGTGCCTTGCCGGGCGCGGCGCCGCCGTGCCGGCGCGCCCGCCAGGGCCACGGGCGGAGCTCCCCGTGCAGCACGATCTGCACGGGGGGTGACCGGGGTGTGCCGCAGTGGGCGCGGCGCCGCAGTGCGAGCGCGCCGACGGGGGCCGTGGAGCTCCCTGTGGGGGCACGACGCCCAGCTTGGAGGCTCCTTCTCCTCCTCCTCCTCCTTCTCCTCCTCCTCCTCCTTACCCACCTCCCAATCTGTTCCCCCCCCCCTCCCCCTCCTCCGCCCCCTCATCCTGCTCCTCTCCCCCCTCCTCCCCTCATCCTCCCCTCCTCCTCCTACTCCCCTGCCTCATCCTCCCCCTTCCTCATCCTCCTCCCTCCTCCTCCCCATCCTCCCCTTCCTCCTCCCCCGCCCCTCTCCTCCTCCTCCTCCTCCTTCTCCTCCTCCTCCTCCTCCTCCTCCTCCTCCTCCTCCTCCTCCTCCTCCTCCTCCTCCTCCTCCTCCTCCTCCCCCCCATCCTCCTGTGTGAGCGGTGCACCGAAGCAGGCGCGGAGCCGACGCGCGGGCTGTGCCCACCGGGGCCCGATGTGGAGCTCCATGTGGGGCTCGGTCCGAGAGAACTGGGTGCGGTGTCGCCAGGCGAGCGCGCCCGCGAGGGCCGTGGGTTGTGCTCCCTGTGGGGTGCGATCCGTGTGGGCGCTGTGCCAACATGGACGCGGCGCCGCAATGCGGACGCGCCCATCGGGGCCGTACAGGGGGAGTTCCCAAACGGGATTCGAAACTTGCGCCGAAGAGGGCGCGGCGCCGCCATGTGGGCGCGCCCATTGGGACCGTGTGTGTTGCTCCTTTGGGGGGCACGATCCTGGTGAAGGGTGTGCCGAAATGGGTATGTGGATGGAGAGCTGAGGCAGAGAGAGGAGGCGGGGGAAGATGAGGGGGATGAGAGTGAAGCAAGACGGATGAGGAAGGAGAGGCGCGGCATTGCGGATTCAAACCGAGGGCTCAACAGCAGGAGCGCTGGGGAATGTCAAGCTCGAGAGCTTAGTAACTGAGTATAGAGTTTGTGCGCTGCTTTCATCTTAGGCCCGTGCTGAAACTCAAGCTCAAGCAGCATGTCCTTTCTGCCTGCTCGCCCTCAGGCCTGAGCTCTCCCAGCTTAGGCTCCTCCGCCTGCTGCAGCAGTGTGCTGCTGCTTGTGTTCCTCCTGTTGTTAAGGTTTAGACTTAGGTCTGTGTTTCAGGCGATCGCAAACATGGATCAAGGGGGCGTGGATTAGCGACGGGTCCCGTTTCCAGGGGAAATCGCGGATTTCCACCGCCGAGCGAGGCGGCAACGGCCGCATTTTGGGGAGGGCACCTCCCCGATCCATGGATTTGGCGACCGCTCGCCAAATCCATGGATCGCTAATCCATGTTTGCGCGCCCCCGAGTGTTGCCGTGCGGTTTCGCAATGTCTCCGCAGGTGGAGCTTGCTTTTGAAACCTTCAAGGTGAAGGTCACCGTGACGATGCATTCTTGAAATCAGAGCTGACGATCATTGTGTAGTTACTGGAGCATGCCCTCGGGCTGTATTCTGTTTGGGGCTGCACGTTCGCGTGCAGGTGCTGTTCTTGAGTCGGTGACTTTTGGACTGCACCGTTTCGATAGTTCCACTAGGTTTTTTCAACACTACCACGGTACAGCATGGCCCGCGGCCTGAGCCGTAGCAGTGATTTGGCATGTCTTTCTTGTAGTTCACGTGCCCGTGCACGGCTGTTGGGAAGTGGCCCGGTGCCCGAGATCTGCCGCATTTCTGTCGCCCGCTGCGTGCCTTTCCCGTGAAGCTATCGCCATGCCTCTCCTCGCCTGGCCGCGCATCTCTCTTCTCTTGCCAGGCCGCGCCTCGCATCGCCCTGCCTGCCCTCATCGTCCCTTACCTTGAGGCTCTGCCAAGGGGGGGTCGTCACAGGCGCGTCGCCAGCTCCTCCTG